CATGTGAAGAAACAAGTAGAGTCCTGATATTGTAGCATTTTCTTCTGATACTGTATGAGCTTCATTCTATATCTTCTGAGATAAACAAGCATGTAACCAAATTAAGGTGAAGATCAGGAAGGTATGAAGACAACATTTTGGGAAACTAAATCAGCACTTGATGTGATAAGTTCTTTAAATTTAAAATTACAAACCTTAAGAATAGCTGCAGGAATGCTGGCCAAACATGGAACACTGTGGACAGCACATGGGGAAGAAAAGTAAAAAAAAAGGAATTCCAGAGGGAGTTCCTGAGAAGGAACTAATACAAATACAAAAAAAGCAAAATCTGAAGTGCTTTGGAAATAGAAGAAACGAAGCCTGTCCTTTATGGGAGAAAAGGAACCAGATATTTCAATTAGCAATGTTCACCTTTGGGGCCCACAGTGTCCACTTAGTTCTGAGGCCAGTGATCCATCATGGACAAGATGCTGCTCGGTTGAGGAGCCTTCCCAGCGCCCCCTTCACATCCTTGTTCCTCAGGCTGTAGATGAAGGGGTTCAGCATGGGGGTGACCACAGTGTACATAACTGAGGCAACTGAGTTTTGTAGGGTAGAAGGGGTCAGAGCAGAACCGAGGTAGACCCCCAGGCTCGTCCCATAGAACAAGGAGACTACAGAGAGGTGAGACCCACAGGTAGAAAATGCTTTATACCTCCCCACTGCAGAGGACATTCTCATTAAAGAGGAGACAATCTTACAGTAAGAAAAGAGAATCCCAGTGAGAGGAAACACAGCCAGTAGAGAAGTAGTCACATACATGAAGATGTCANTACAGAGAGGTGAGACCCACAGGTGGAAAATGCTTTATACCTCCCCACTGCAGAGGACATTCTCATTAAAGAGGAGACAATCTTACAGTAAGAAAAGAGAATCCCAGTGAGAGGAAACACAGCCAGTAGAGAAGTAGTCACATACATGAAGATGTCATTGATGAGAGTGTCAGAGCAGGCCACCTTGAGAATCTGGGCCAGTTCACAGAAGAAATGTGGAATTTCACTGTTTATAGAGAAGGTCAGCTGCCTCATCAGTAGAATATGAACCAGGGCGACCCAGAAAATGACGAACCAAGACATCAGAACCAGGGAGCCACAGAGCCGGGGGTTCATGATGACCATGTAGTGCAGGGGGTGGCAGATGGCCACATACCGGTCATAGGCCATCAGGGTCAGGAGAAAGTTGTCCATTCCAATAAATATCATAAAAAAAAACACCTGGATGAGGCATTCTATGTAGGAGATGGCTTTGCTCTGTGCCTGGATGTTCACCAGCATCTTTGGGACGGTGGTGGAGGTGAAGCAGATGTCAACAAAGGACAGGTTGGACAAGAAGAAGTACATGGGGGTGTGGAGGCGGGAGTCAGAGCTGATGGCCACAATGATGAGCAGGTTTCCCAGCGCGGTGACCAGGTACATGGAGAGGAACACTCCACAGAGGAGAGGCTGCAGTTTAGGATCATCCGAAAGACCCAGGAGCAGGAATTTGGACACTTCTGTGTGGTTTTCTGCGTCCATGCAGCCGGTGTGTATTCTAAACAAGAGGGAAAAGGAACGTTTAGTAAATAGCCGAAGGCCTTTCAGTCACCACCTTTTTAATTTTTATTTATTATTTAAAAATTTTTTTAAATTTAATTTAATTTTTGTTGTTGTTTAAAATATTACAGATGTCCCTTTTTCTCCCCAATGACCC